ATATATATATATATATATCATATTTACTTTTACTTGTAATGTATACTTTTTCACATTTTCTGCAGCCATTTTATAAAGAAACAATTTAAAAGTTACACTTTTATTTTAATCTTACAGATGAAGAGGATACCAACAAGAGTACTTCCAACAACTGAGAATAACCAGCATCTTTGAAAATGAAAGCAAATTGAGCTTTCAGGAAAGCACATAATTCTTCTCTTTCCCCAGCTGGTGAGAGACAAAGGAGAGAAAATCCAGAACAAATTTCAAACTGGAAAAAATAAAGTATGCAGAACTCAACCACATATTACATATAAAGGTCAAAGGAGATTAATTTTTCCATTCAGAAAAAGAGGGAAATCTCTAGACATGAGTGAGGAAGAAAAAGACAATTGGATAGCCACAAAAGGTAGACAGTAATGCAGGTCTTTAGACAGTAATGGAGGCCTTGCCCTATGAGGAAGAAAACAGTAGCTTGAATCAAAGATCCATGTAACAAAAGATCACATGTATTTTTGAACCCTTCGAGAACCTCAGTGGTGGAAAAGCTCCATAGATGTCCCTGTTGTGGGCAAAGCACACAGAGCAAAGTACAGATAATGCATAAGAGGATCCACTCTGGGGGAAAGCCATTCAAATTATCCGAATGTGAGTAAAGATTTAGTTAAATCAGCTCCCTTGTGGTTCATCCAAGGACCCACACAGGAGAGAAGCCCTATAACTACTCCCAATGCAGTAATCGCTTTTTGCAAGCATGGCAACCTGATGATACATCAGAGGACTCACACAAGGAGAAGACCCCTTGAATGTGCTGATTGTTGGAAAACTTTCAGTCAGAATTCCAACCTGATGGTATATTACAGGATGCACACAGGAAAGAAATCATATAACTGTCCTGATTGTGGAAAAGGTTTCATTGCAAATTCCCACCTGGTGATACACCAGAGGACTCACACAGGAGAAAAACCCTTTGAATGTCCTGATTGTGGGAAAGGTTTCAGTCAGAATTCAAGCCTTGTAATACACCAAAGGACTCACACAGGAGAGAAACCCTTTGAATGTTCTGATTGTGGGAAACGTTTCAGTTGGAATTCCAATTTGGTTAAACACCAGAGGACTCACACAGGGGAGAAACCGTTTGAATGTCCTGACTGTGGGAAAAGTTTCAGTCAGAATTCTGACCTGGTAAACCATCAGAGGACTCACACAGGAGAGAAACCCTTTGAATGTCTTGATTGTGGCAGAAGTTTCAGTCAGAATTCCAACCTGGCGACACACCAGAGGATTCACACGGGAGATAAACCCTTTGAATGTCCTGATTGTGGCAAACGTTTCAGTCAGAATTCCAACCTGATGACACACCAAAGGACTCACACAGGAGAAAAACCCTTTGAATGTCCTGATTGTGGGAAACATTTCAGTCAGAATTCCAGCCTGGTGATACACCAAAGGACTCACACAGGAGAGAAACCATACGAATGTCCAGATTGCGGGAAAGATTTCAGTAGTAGGTCTAGTCTTATCAGTCATGTAGTTTTACACACAGGGGAAAAACCTTTCAGATGTCCAATCTGTGGACGGTACTTCAGACGAAAATCATCTTTTATTGCACACAAGGTAATCCATATGAGGCAAGCACTGCCAGGTTTAGAGAAGGCTTGAATGTCATTTCTGATTCCCCATTGGAAGTGTAAGTTAGAAATTGACAATTTGAATTGTGGCTTGATTCGTTTTAGTCGGCATCTCTCAGGATTATAATTTTAGGGTTAGGTGCAGAGAAAAAAATGGAAAAAAATAGTTTGATAAAGGCTAACTAACTCTTTGTGTTGGTCAACAGAGGTGACTGGATATTTTCTTTTACAGAATTTGTGTAATTTGTCAAAATGGCCTTTGTGTGATGTTTTTTGTATATAGATTATTGAAATCCTACATTTGGAGTTTCCTTCTGTCTTGGCGTCCACCAGATTTTGATCCTCACAATTCACCAGCCAGCATAAAAGTAATCCTCGAGACTTAACTATAATGAGGCCTACCTCTTATGGATGCATTTAGCAATGGTGACCGTTCTTTGATTAACTAACCCCATCCCCTGCTCTCCCTTATGCAGCCGTTAAGTGAATGTGTAAGTTGCTAAATAGGACACTGGCTGCCTCAGTGTTGGGGGCTTAGCCCAGGCCCAGGCTGGTCCCCTCTCCCAGAGGCATCCCTAGGCCTCCTCCACCCCCTAAGACACCTATTGCTCTGGTTCCCAACTCTCCGTTCCCCCCAGGCCTTTTCCTCTCTTACAGGATCCCACCAGGCTTTTCTTCCCCCCACCCCAGGCCTTTCTCACATAATACTCTTGGGCTTTTTCCCAGTCCCACTGGCTCCCTGTGGACCTTAGGCCATTCCAAACAAATGGAGCACCCACAACCTCTGGAGGCAAGCCATTCCACTGATTAATTGGTTCCACTTACAGGACATTTCTCCTTAATATTAGACTCCTTTTTGATAAGTCTGTTACTTCTTGTCTTGCTTTGGACAATAGGTCGACCCCCTCTTTTCTGTATCGGCCCCTCAAATATTGCTATTTCGTCCCCGCTATTTTTTCTTTTTGTTAGACTAGACCCGTGATGGTGAACCTACGGCACGCGTGCCACAGGTGGCATGTGGAGCCATTTGTTGGGGCACGCAAGAACCTGTCTGCTCCAGCGGGCATGCGCGCACTGGCCCGCTGACTTCGGCCTTCTTTTGAAGCCATTTTTCGCCATTCAAGGAAGCCTCCGGAACGTTAAAAACTGGTGACTTCCGGTTTGCTCCTAGGGCCATTTTTTGCCCTCCGGACCCTTCAGGAGGCTTCCCTGAAGGCTCCAGAGGGTGAAAAATGGCCCTACAGACAAACTGGAAGTCACCACTCCCGAACTTCCGGTTTGGCCATAGGGCCAGTTTTCGCCCTCCGGAGACTTCAGGGAAGCACCTGAAGCCTCCGGGGCGGGGGGTGTTTTCGTCCTCTCCAGGCTCCTAGAAAGCCTATGGAGCTTGGAGAGGGTGAAAAAACCACGCCAAAAGCAGAGGGGCACTAGTCATCCATGCATGCATGCTGGCCTGTGCGCATAGCATTATGGGTGTGGCACGCCAATGCGCACACCCCCTGCATTCCCCCCGCTTTTGGCATGGGAGCCAAAAAAGGTTAGCCACCACTGGACTAGACATATCCAGTTCCTGCAAGTGTTAATCTTATGTTTTACCCTCCAATCCCCTAATCATCTTTGTTGCTCTTCTCTGCACACTTCATAGAACCTCAAAATCTTTTCTGTATCATAGTGAGCAAAGCTGGATGCAATATTCAGTGCAGTCTTACCAGCGCAGTATAATGCAGTATTAAAACTTCACGTGACCTTGATACTATCAGTTGATTCAGACTAGGACTGCATTGGCTTTTTCTGTAGCTGCAGCACACTAGTAGCTGCTCCTTATGTGGTTAACCATCCACTAGGAGTCCTGGAACCCCTCTCACAATTACTGTTGTTGAGCCAGGTCGAAGTGAAGGTCCTTTTTAAAACTGGAGCCCTATGGGGGCAAAATGTTGATCTGAATGTTCATACTTTCTTTTCCCTGTATCCTATGACAAGGAGCTTTTAGTATGTGGGAGAATACAGGGAATGCCCTTGATAGTAAATTTATTTTGCATTAAACATGGTGGAGCCAGTCGCTGGGCCTCCTTGGTTGGTGCTTCTGCGAATGGCTCTCCAATCCCCCTAAAATCCTTCCTCCAAGTCTCTCTCCTTCCTCTCAGCCCAACATCTTGGTGCAGGCCGGCTCCCAGGGTGAGGCCTCCTGGTGTTTTCCGGAAGGTTGGGCACCAATATGGCTGCTGGGGAGAATCAGCCTCCCAGTGTGTGGAGGGGAGGAAGAGATGACTCAGAGAGATCTGAATTTAGAGGGATTGTGCGCGGAGGGGCTCCCTCCAAGGGGTTGAACAGTGTTAGGAGGAAGCTCGTGGCATCTGAATGGCGTCCAGGTGGGCTTGGCCTGTCCGGATGGGCTTGCTTTGAGATGCACCACCTGAATCTGCCTCTCTTACCTGCCCAGATTCACTTCCTGGTAACTGCTGTATCCCTGTTTCTCTCTGCCCATTTAAGGGACCAGCCCTATTTGTGGACGTTTTCAATTTTAATTTTAGTTCTTTCACGGGTTGTACAATCTACACTGAAAAATAAACTTTCCGCTGTGTTTGCAAATATCATTACAAAAAGATCAAGAGAGTTCTGTGACATATATTGAAAGATAAAAAGATTCGGTTCCACCACAAAAGCGCGTAGGACAAAATCGCGCTCGACAAAAGCGCGCTGTGACGTCATCACAGCGCGACGAAAAAGATCGAAAAATTTAAAAATAAAGCGAAAAACTTAGCGTAACCCCCCCAAACCTAACCCTAAGCCTAACCCTAAACCCAACCCTAAACCTAACCC